CTTCTTGGTGGATTATACAGTTCATCTTAACGGCCTCACCTCCACTCTCTTTTACCTTTGCGCACATCAATGATGTCATTCCTTTGCGCTCGCCCGTCATGGCCGGCAGTGTTGTACAGTAACAAAGTAAAAATACTTCACTACTTTACTTAAGTATATTTTGGACTACTTCATACTTTCCTCGAGTATGAAAATTTTTGATAACTTTCACTTTTACTTCACTATATTTCCGAACTTAATTGCATTCTTTTACTCTGATACATTTTCAATGTGTGCTTTAGTTACTCGTTACAAAAAAGCGAGAGAGAAACGCAAATGCTTTGACTCCACCTACTGATCGATTGCAACAAAGTCGGTAGCCGACTTGCCTGGGCTTGTTCATCACCACCAATAGGATGCACCTGTTTCGCTTCTCCCATTAAACACAAATCAAATCTCGCAATGAGCAGCAGCCACATGGAGGAGGAGATGGAAACCACAACAACTGCAATTACGTTGGACACGGCTCCAGGGGAACCAGCAGCTGGTGACGAGAGCCCATAGCCTTATTTAAACACCATATACTCTTTCGTGGGTGTTAAAGATTCGTTGTGCCGCATGAAGTGTATGTTATGCCTACCCAAAGATTTGGAAATTCTATCTTACAAAAACTCCCCGTCCAACTTGAAGAAACACATTGAGGTAACTTCTAATGAAATGGTTAGAATCCTCCTGTTTCAGTAACTATAGCTTGGTCACTAGGCACTATTGTGAAATCTTCAGCATACCTGTATAAATCAACTTTGTTTGGCATTGTTTCAGTTCCACAATGTGTGTATTTAGCTCAGGCCTAATGTTGGTTGTAGCAGGCTACCTAGACTCCTCTGTTCAAGGGAGGACGGAAACCATAGCGATAGCAATTTAGACTGAATTTAATGAATATAGAAAAGGCATACATGTTCAAAACCACAAACCATTAACATGTGCTACTCTTTGAAACTGGAACAAACTTTGTGTGTGCTTCTGCTGTCTTAAAGCCAAGGTTAGCCGACCTTGCAGTCGCCACAATAGCTACGTTTACATGATGGCCAATGTTCAATACCAACCAGTTCACTTAAATAACATTGGACTAGATTAGGTGTATTTTGTTTGCATTTATAATACAACCTAAGGAAAATAGTGTTTGTAACTGATGTGTGGGTCAATTTGTGTCCAATTTTTTTTTTTTTTTTTTGGTCTTTCAGAGAAAGCATCCGCACCATGTTCAGAAATACATTGAATTGACCACAGCAAAGCACAAAAGGGCCAGTGGACCACCCACCCCCGCCAGTAAGCAGGCCACATTGACTCACACCTTGACCATGACTCCTCAGAAGAGTGTTGAGAAGGCCATTGTCAGATATGTTGTACATGGGTTCTCAGTCGTCGAACAGGAACCATTCAGAGAATTCATCAAGGACCTTGTCCCTAATGCCAAGATGCTGTCATGGGTGACGCTCACATCCAAGATCGAAGATGGCTTTAACCAAATGAAGGCCGCACTGATTGAAGCAATGACGGGTCGACTAGCTAGCTACTACGACTGATTGCTGGTCAGTGAGAAGGCGAGAGTTCATTGGTGTTACGGCACACTGGATCGGCCCGGATAATCTTGAGAGATGTTCAGCAGCCTTGGCATGCTGACAGCTGAGGGGATCCCACACTTTTGATCTCTTGAATGACATCCATGCAGAATTTAAAATCAGAGGCCAGATTGTGAAGACAACCAGTGATAATGGTGCAAACTTTGTGAAGGCTTTTCGAGTGTTTGGGGAGGATGAAAACAACAATGAAGAGGGAGTTGAAGCTGAAGCGCAGTCTGAAGATAAAGGAGATACTGGAGTGCCTGAGGAAAATGTGAAGTACATTGACACTGCAGCTCTGCTGCATGAAGAATTCCAGCTGCCAAGACACCAACGCTGTGCTTGTCATATTCTAAAGCTCATGGCCAGTGAAGAGGGTTAGGGTTAGGGTTAGCTCAAGTGATGTGTACAAGAAGCTGCACCATGCAACGTTTGCCAAGTGTTATGGCCTGTGGAACAGAAATGCAACAGAGATGGTTGAGGAAGTCTGTTCCCTTCAACTTCTGAGGCCAAATGAAACGAGGTGGAACTCGTTGTTCATGGCCTGGAACGTCTACTCAGGATTTGTGAAGAGAGAGGGAGCCTTAAGAGCTATTGCCACCGACCTGAAGGTCCCAATGTAAGTAGGCCAGAGGTTTTTTTTTAAGTAAAAATAGAACAGCTGCAGAAAAACAAATGACAATGTGAATAACAGTGTCTATTATCAACAAAAATCACTGAAAATCTGTCAGAAATGTAAATTTTCTATTCTGTTTCCATCTAACAAAAATCCGGATGTGTCTTCTTTTTTTGTCAACACAGGTTGAACCCAGCTGAACTCACATTTCTCACGGAGTAGGCTGCTGTAATGAGTCCTGTCGCCCAGGCAAACAACATACTGCAAGCAGAAACCAACGCACAAATGGGTTGGCTACTTCCGACAATTCACCTGCTACAGATTAAGCTCGATAAAGTCAAGTTGCAGCTGAAGTACTGCAGGCCTCTTGTTGATTCTTTACAGTCTGGAATTCAGAACATGTTCAAGGATGCCGAGCTGGTTGCAGCTGCAATTCTTCTTCCCAAATTCCGAACAGCATGGATGAAAGACGATGTTGCCATTAAAATGGGTGAGCTTATACATTCATGATGACACGCATCTGCTTCAGTAGTGATGGTACATGTCAACATGCATGTTGACTGCATTCATGCAGCTCAAAACCATGTCAGTCCCACTACCATGCATTACTGTGAGCATCTATTACTAACTTCACCAACACATACTTGACACCATCTAAAACAAATGAGTTTATCTTGGTGTTATCAGACCACATGACATGCTTCCAGCAATCCATAGTCTTTCTGTCTCTGAGACCATAATAAACAAATTTGCTTTAGACAGTGTCAAGCATGTGATGGTGACCAAATGAGAAGGACAAAAAAGTGTTTCATGCTTTCATGTCAAGAATGATGGTGGGACTGACTTGGTTTGGGATTGCATGGATGCCGTCAACACATTGGGAAGCGTTTGTGCATCAATAGATTTGCTTGTTAGTTGGTACACGAAATAATTAAATTATTATTTATATGCTATTTAATCACTATAAATCATCAACACAATCATTTCTAATACATTTCTTCAACCATAACTTTAATACTCATTCACTTTTTAATCAAATAATATTATAGTACTTTCAACTTGTGACTTGTTATTTAACTGTTTTATATAATTATCAATAATCAACTTTAAAAAATATGTATATCATTGTTTTAAAAAAGACTCATAGACCAACTATAAACCAATGGCTACAGCAGATGTTATTTTATTTTGACCTGAGCAGTACTTCTACCAACTAACTGATGTCATACTTCATAAAATGTTCAAGCTGTTTCTCTAAACTGCTAAAATTCCAAGAAAGAAATTTTGGAAAAAAACCCAAAAACAATATATAAAACAATATAGAAAGCATCATGTTGTAAAATGCTTTTCAGCAGCAGGAGAGACGCTGATGGCAAAATACTGCCAAAAAATGAGAGCCAGTGTAGTTAAAAAAAGAATGAATAAAGTAATACACAGCAAACATTTTGGTTTCTTGTTTGTTAAAAAGAAAAAGAAAAAATACCGGGTATTATTTTCCTTCTAATTATTCATCATAATTTTCTGTGTTGTTTTGGTCTGCAACATATAATCCTCATGACATAAAGTGAAGTTTGTTGTTTTAACCCTTTAACAACCACACCAAGAAAAAAAACCTGTGGAAATTGATTTCTTTGCATTTCTTTTACCCGAGGGTGACTCCTAAAACACAATCAATATTTTTTTTCCAACAGACTCTGTGGTTTTTAAAATATTGATCTCTACCAAACAGTTGAGAGGTCACTTAATGATTTAAGTACATGATGTAATAAAAATACCAAGTACAGTAGATGAATTAAAATAAAATGCTAAATTATAAAGAAATAACAAAAAATGTCTGGAACATTGGATATGTTATTTCTGTCAAAATGCCACAAAAAAACAGTTTTTAATGTCAACCAAGGAAAACATTGCGTCGAACAAGGAAATATTGCATTTTAAATTTTCCCATCTTGATTGTAACTGTATTAAAGTGCAACAGCACAAAATTGTCACATTCAATCCACTTCTGATTATAGGTAACAGTGCAAAACATTAATTTTTACATTCAGAAAGGAAAAGAAAGAACAATAGAAACATTTGTTGCTTTGATATCTCAGCACACCTTTTCTGTTTTGGTGCAACAGCATGCATTTTGGACATAAGATCATGACAGACTGGAGGACTGATTGAACTAGTGTTTACTTGTTTTCATTTAAACTTTGAAAAAACATGGCAAGCACAGAAAACATTACCAAACATATTAAAACAGCACATTTCCAACCTCATCTGTGCGTTTGCAAAACAGTATTTTTTTGTGCATTAGATGCACTTTACCTCTGGATATATATCTTAAAAGCATTTCTGGTTTGCATTCAAACACAGGAAGACATTGTATTTCTCACATTTCCACCTGGACACTCCCTTTGGACAAAGATTGCATCTCCCTCGCTTTTCACAGTGAAGAGGCCAGGGGCCCACATTATCGTAGCGCACATCTGTTTGCGGTTTTGGTGGTAATGGTCTTGGGATGTAGCCTGTCTTCTCTGGTAGTGGAGAGCTGGAAGATGGTCGGCTAACTTTGGATGCTGGCTTATTGAACTGGTTCAAACTGTGGGCAACTGGGAGGCGGAACCGTTTGAGAGACATGGGTTTCTTATTCTGGAGGCCACTGTCGCTTTTGTAGAGTAGCCAGGAATTTGCAATGCAGAGGTCCAGGATGTATCCAATCATCTCCTTGACCTGGCCGGGGTCTTGTACAGGTGTACTAGCATGTCAGACAGATCGATTCCTCCCATATGCTCATTTTAGGTGATGGGCACGGGATGGTGATCTTTGCGTGGGACTCTTTGCTCCAGCGTTTCACAGTTGAAAAGCCCATGATCCCACAGGCAAGTTAACACATTTGTTATTGAACCACTTCACTGCAAGAACCCCTTCAGCAGCCCTAAAGTCACAGGCCCCACGCTCATCAATGGAGCTCCACCAGTGCGGTTCGGTTGTACGGTGCCGATGCACTTGACGCCAAGGCAGTGTGCAGGTACTGAACCAAGTTGAAACTTGTAAAGAAGTTGTCACAAAAGACAACAGACATCTTGGGCTCTTTTATGGTTTTGCAGAGAATTGTCACCACTTTTGCTCCCAGAGAAAAAAAAAATTATAATTATTCTTAGTGTATAACACTGTAATAATACTTATTTCATATTTACACCAATAGATGAAAATGAGTTTTGATTTTATAGCAAGAAAAATTTAACTAAATTAGCTTAATTTGCTACATGTACCATAAAGTGACAAATCAACTGTTTAGTCAAGCGTATTTTAAAAAAAATTAGACCTTTAATTCAGCTTTTTAGGTGGTATCGAGTAATATAATTTTGTTTAGTAAGGTCTATAACATTATCATATGCCAGAAAGCTAAAAACATTCATTTTTACATTCAGAAACAGTATTTTTTTGTGTGCATTAGATGCAATATTGACTGTTTTACCAGAAGCAGTCAATATTTGTTACAGATTTTGTGTTTCTGACAGCCTGGTTGGAGAGGGGAAGAAGAAGAATACGATTTAAAGAAGCAGCGCCCTCTAGTGGATTTCTTTAGCATATCGTATCTCAACTAAGCGGCAGAGATGGCTCAATCAGGTTAAGCTGTTATGCACACCTCATATTGAGATATAGAGATGCAAAATGTGCTAAATCATATGGTTGAGTGGGCAATTAAAGTGACATATTTAAAAAATCTATCTAAATATTGTACTTCTACAAGGTTTTATATATTATTGTTCATATTTTTACATTTGTGAACTGGATAAAGCTGTGTTTGTCCGTTTTTCTCCCTCAAAAATAGTTTGAAAAACTTTCAGTGCAGGATTATTTTAATTTGATTTCTAGTTTTAACACAATGAAATTCTTCATTCATTTTCTGATTTGGCCTTTTTAAAGCTGGTGCTTGGAAAGATCCAAAGCTGCTTTGTTTTATCCCGTTAGGATCTGCTATGTTTTCTATCAAACTACTTTAAAATGACACCCTTTGCTGTCTCATCTTCTTTTTTATTTCCCAGACGAGGTTGTCTATCACTTTCCTCCTCCAACATTAAATGAATCACAGTAAATGTCATTCAAGGGAAAAAACACTTATATACTGTATACTTCTCTCAGTAGCTGAAGTGGAAATATATTTCCTGTGACTTCAGGAGACAAATTAATAAAAACAAAGAAAGAAACCCTGAAATGTATGCCTTACCTGAGCAGATCAATTTTATAAGCATGAACCCCTTCACTGTGTTTCCGTTTACAGCATCTCAACAGGTAGCAGCTCTGCTGTGGGGACAGAGAGAGAAAAAAGGAAGGAAATCAGAAGCACATTGGGAGCAAAACAAAGAAAAGTGAGTGTACGCCAAGTGAGCACACCGAGACAACAAATAGCAGCTGGATGGACAGCGAATGAGAGAAATGAATAAACATGAGAGAGGAGAAGCTGCAAAGACAAATGTCAGAATCACAACATCCAAGCCAGGCTGTTCATAAAGCCCCAGGCTGCATGTGTGGGACAGAGGCAGTCCAGTGGCCGCCTACGTCCTCTCTGTGTGTGTTCATTGCTCTTTCCGGAACATGGCCAAAAGGTTGAAATGTTCCGATTGATGGCTCAAACACATTCACACATCTGACGCTGTTTCACTACTGATGAGCAACTCTTCAGGTTATTATTGTTATAAGTAAAAAATTATTACTTTTTATATGAAATCTCAAAGTACCATTATAGATTTGAAAGTAATGATATCCGTGTAGACTCTTTTTGTCTCTGTGTTAAGCAGGATATTTAAGGCAGGGATGTCAAAGTCAAATATACCGAGGGCCAAAAAAACACCAAATGTGCTACAAGCCGAGGGCCGGACTGGTTCTACGTTTATTAAAATATGTTGAAATGATTGCACAAATCCTGTTGAACCAAGACCTAATACAGTGTATATTATTTAATAATTAAATGAATAAAGCAATATTTTCTTATGGATTTGTCAGTAATTTCAAGTGAAACCATTTTTCAACAGGCAAACAGACAAAAACAAACTTCCTTCAAAGAAAAATAGCATGTTCTCAACATTAAAAGAATAAGGCAATATTTTGTTAGGCTCTGTCAGTAACCTCAAGAGAAACATTTTCAAAAGGCAAACAGCAAAAAATTCAATTGTTTTGAAAACCTAAATATGTTTCTTAATATCAAGATAAATACATAAAGTGCATGCATTATAAAATTTGGAATTTTCTTTTTACGAAAAAGTAAAAAGAAATAAAAAAAGGCCCAGCCTTCACAAATGAAAAATATACAGAAAACGCACCATCCAAGAAAACCAAAGACGGGTTCAAACAGGAAAACGTGACTAAGGATTCTTTTTTTCAGTCTTTGAAACTGCATTATTGTGCTGCTCTATGATGTTCATATTCTTGTCTTTGTCCATATGTTTCTGAGAAGTTTGATAATGCCTTCTGAGATGATATTCTTTCATTACAGCCAAACTGTCTCCACACAGCAGACACACAGGCAGTGATGGGATAGTTACTTTCATCAGATTACTGATTACTCCTTGAAAAAGTAACTTAGTTAGATTACTGATGACATTAAGTTACATTAAAGTTACATTAAAAGTAACTATTTTAATTACTTTCAGCAGCTAACAACAATAACGCTCCGCCACCTGTGAACATCACATTGATCTTTGCCAAAACTTAATAGCAAGTTATTTTATAATGATTACAGCAACAATGTGTCTCCTCTTATATGGTTGAACTGAAACTGAAGGGGAGATTGTTACAAGAGTACAAAAAAAAAAAAAAAACTTTAGGAATTTGTGCCTGTTCTTATGTGTTTCTATTGTCTGGAAAACTGTAAATAGGATTTTAGACCCCCCAACCCCACAGCGTCCAAGTTGGACGTTTGGTGTCAGCGCAGCGCACAGAGCTCCTCCTGCCACTCCACAACTCAGATTTGTGACACTTATCTTAATATTAACAATTATAATGACGTTTAGATGCGCTACTTTACGTAAATGTTCATTAGTGGCTGTTTTCATGTTTATTGCACTGTTCCTATTAATTTTCTGAAGCTTGACGTCATTCAGAGGGAATACATTAACTTGACATTAAAAAAGACCCAGCAGGACGGATCATCCGGGAAATGATGGACAGGGAGAGTCTAACTAAAATGTCAGACAAATTCTGGGTTTATGTCTGCTTATTAAGGCCAAAAACCGCGACTCATTAAATCTACAAACGACTTTAAAAAAGTCCAAAGCCACTTATAATAATCTTACTCAGTGAGCGAAACTCAACATAGTTACTGCTTTTCCAGAAACAAAATGCGCATCTCCTTCCATTGTCTGTTTCAGTCGCTGCTGATACTGTCTCATAGACTCTCCCCAAGCCGCGGACAGGAAGTCAAATGTAATTACAAAAGAAATTAAAGCCGCTAGCGGCGTTGTACCGCCCTCGCAGCCAAGCGCCGCTCCGGCCTATTGGCCACCGCGGGGTACTAGTAACCCACGCCCGCCAGCCACCACAGAAGCTCTCGCAGTTTCCAGCACCTCAGTCCGCACAGCACCAAGGAAGCTGTTGCGTAGTTTCCGCGCCTGTCCACATGCTTTGATGTTAACTACAACTGAGATGTAAATGCAGTGCAACTTTAACCTTCTCCTAAAATGAGTGAGGAAAATTGTAAAGTTGAAGATGTACCAGTTTAATAAACCGTACTGGTCAGTAATAAACCAAGAGCAATACACATTAACAGAGCACAGTTAACTTTCAGCACATTAGAACAATAGCACAGGCTGAATCCCACCCATTAATTAGGTATTAATCACAGGAAGTGCTACAACTAAATATTACAACCCCAATGGATTAGTAATAAGATACTTAGCATTTTCTCAGAGCTCTTTGAAACGACTCTTTAATCAGCTTCTATACATAACAACAAACAAAGCTGAATGTATCAAACACACTCTTCAATCTCTTGAATTAGTAAAGCGCTCCGTTAGCTTTACAAACAATGCAGGCCTGAGGGACTGGGTTAGCATCGTCCTTGGACTAGCAGTTCCAAACATGGCGGCTCCCAGAAACCAGCATGAGGAATGGGTTACTCTGCTCCATCGAAGCTGGTCGGGGTTCCTCAACACACCAACATGTCTTCTGTCTCTGGGCACAGTTTCATGTTGGGAGAGGTAAACTTACAGAGCTAATGGTGAACTGAGGAGAGTAGCACAACACACAGGATATGATGCAAAAACAGAAAACAAGAAAATAAAAGCTTCTCTACCAAAATAAACTACAATTCAAAAACCAAGAAAAACAAATAAACATAGATAATGAGAATGGATTTGGGATGAAATATAAACATTTTTACACACTTCCTACATGTGCAAAACACCAGCGGCGGGCTGTGTGGCCTTGACTTTGACATATATGATTTAAGGGTTTTTTTTCTTCCAAGCTCATTTTATTTCTCACCTTTTCTCTTATTTAGCATTTGTTGACTCATCTGTTCTTTACCCTTTGGATAAACAAAATTACGTGTTGCCACATTTAAACTAATATGTAGATTTCGGTTTCATCACCTTCAATTTTTTGGTAACGATACATAAAAAAAGACAACATAATCTGCTGTTGGGTAATGTTGAGAATATAATTTTTGTTAGCATAATCGTGCTGAAAGTTAACCTCAGGCATATGAAATATTGCATGAATATTTTGGAATTAGTTCGTTAAGAGAAACTTGGATAAAGATCCAAACTAAAACAACTGGTGACTCTATGAACTTACATACATTTCTGAGGAGGGTTTTTAGACAGGGAGTGTATTTGCTATCAGGAAAATAAATTCTTTACTCAGGGTTGAAGAGTTCAGGCAAACATTAAAAACTATTTCACTTTCAAAATATTTTGGGTATTCTCAAAAAGAGCTTTTATTAAAATAGAAAACACTTTAGTTCTCAGATCCAAACTTATAGTTATTATTTGGCATTAGATTTTGTGCAAGTTTGTTTAAAATACAAACTGCTTTCTTGAATCATTTGAGGCAGAGAACGCTCCAGCTGCACGCTATAAATCATGGCCTGGGCAAGAGGCTGGTAAGAGAAGACCTGGGTGTTTTAGCAGAACCCAGAGGTAATAAAATTAACATTAAGACATCCCCCACAAAGGGAAAAACACACCTCCTCTAATGCATATATTTAAATACACAGTCTTATAAAAAGCTTTGTTGAATTTGAATTGCTTTCTGGCTGAGTCCGCGATTCCCAGAAAATGCATTTTCTGTTCTTATTTTCTGTGCTTTCTTTCTTTCATCTCGTGCAGTTATTTCTGTTTAGTCACGTCTTGGACTTTTGATAATCTGGGTGAGATGCTTATTGTAACATTGTGTATGCATTGAATTTCTCTGGATAAAGCTCTGGATATTTGAAGTCTGATGTCGTATGAGTGCTCTTTTTTCCTGCGCATGCTGAGGCTCAAGAATCCGGGATCAGAGGAGAATTAACGAGCAAAATCAAGATCTCCTCTTTAAATCTTAACAGTAATCACACTAGAAATATATATTTTTTAAATCTAGTGTTTACTTTGAGAGATTTATTTTATGCGTAAAATATGTTGAGAAATATCATAGATTTGCACATAGTTTGTTATAAAGATTGCCAGAGCTACACCATGTTGCCTCCAGACCTTGTATCGTGAGCGTTCAGGACCACAGCCGCACACAATCACATCAAATCTGCTAACTCTTCAAACCTCCTCCAGGAATGCTTGCAGCTGCTTATTTTAACATTTTAAACTGCCAATAATACCTTTACATGCATTAAGATGCACAGTGGGAGCCATCTTAGTGCTATGCAGAAGCGAGCATCCTCAACTCCACTCTTGACAGCAGCAGCCAATCAGACAAAGGAAAATGGATGTTTTACAAAAGCCTTTCAATAGCTTTAAGCATTGAGCCTACTTCAGCGTCCTAAGCTCAATTTTCTTTTGAATATATTAGCTATGCTCAATGAAAAATTCAGTGAAAAGGCAGGCTTTCCGTAAATAAACTGGAATAACGTTCCACAGAAAAATCCAGGAACAGGTGAAAGAAATGAAACTGATATCCTATTTTTTTATGGAGAGTCATAGTGAAAACCATTGTGTTCCAATTGTGAACTAAATCTGTTGGCCGCACTTGGATACTCAGGCAGCAGTCCTGAGAGCCACAGCGCCTGACGGCATAAAAAAGTAATAATGGGAAAAAAAACCTCCCCTCTGTAACAGGACACTCACCATTACTGACATATCTCATTTCTGACT